GGGTTAACGGGATTTGGGGGGTGGGCAGGGTTGTACGGAGGGGGATTTCCTGGGTTAACGGGATTATTTGGGGGGTGGGCAGGATTTTGAGGGTTGACAGGATAAGGTGGAGGGTGTCCTGGATTTTGTGGATTGGCGGGATTATGGGGTGGATGTGGAGGAGGCTTTGCATGATTTGGAGGATGTTTTACAGGATTTTCAGGCCTGTTTGGGGGTGCATGATGGGCAGGCCTATGTTCAGGTGGGTTCTGTGCTGGTTTTCTAGGTCTCTCTGCAGGCTTGACAGGATGATGCGAGGGTTTGCTAGGGCGATGGGAAGGTCTGCTAGGATTATGGGAGGGTTTGCGACTTGGCTTTCGACTGCTGCTGCTGCTGCTCAGTCTGCTGCTTCCTTTTTTAGAAATGGAGACAATCTCCTCAGTCTGGAGCAAAATGAAGAGAATCACGATTGAGGAGGCCAACAGGAATTTTCCCATGATGACAGTTCTGCAAGATAAAATGGGGAAGACATCTAGTTTGAAACTCATGCAAATGTGACGTAAATGATACAAATTTATCAAGGAGAGTAGTCTCAAAGGTGCTTTTTCAACAGGTGACTAGACTTTCTGGTTTCGTCAGCTGGTGCTCCATTCAAAATCCAAGAAAGAAATACTTAGATTCCTTTAATCAGAGAAAAGATATCTTTTACTGGAAATCAAGTGGTAACAACAAAAGAATTCTGAATCTGAGAAAATGGGTGCGTAAATCACATATACAAAGGAATGGCAACGTTCCCACCCCCAATAGTTCAATTGGCTCATTCAATTAAAAGTTGTGTAGATTATCATGTGGGCATCTCCAGGTGGTGATGAGGCTTCTGTCCGTTGACCTTGACATAGTTTGATAAAGGGTTGCAGCTACGCATAGCATAGGATAGAAACCTAAGCAAGAATGTACCCCGCCCCCCAGTTTATACAGTTCTGGTTTGTAACACCTCCAGCTCACTTCCCACAACCATTCCCCTCTCCTCCCCCCATTACTTATGACAGCCGAAAGATGCAAAGCAAAGGGAGAAAATCTTGAAGGCTGACAGGTTTTTCTTTGAAGACGTTTTGCTTCTCACCCAAGAAGCTTCTTCAGCTCTGACTGGATGGTGGGGAAGGATTTATACTCCTTGCAGACAGCTGGTCATTTGCATTCTTTTAGCAAGTCATTAAGGCCACCTGGAGGTTTATCTGTGTCATCAGGGTCCCCTGAGTGGTGCAAATTGGCATGGAGTCTTCTTGGAACTATTGAAAGGACTGTGTTGTAGATTGGAGGTAGATGATGTCATATCCCTCCTCCCTCCCCCGCTCCCCATTGAGAGAGGGCTGTTCAATTTTGACAAAGATGGCCTCTTTAACCCCTTTTTCAAACCAGTGATCCTCTCTGTCCAAAATATGGACTTCGTTGTCTTCAAAAGAGTGGCCTGTATTTTAAATGCAGATGGACTTGAAAAAGCACCTTTGGGACAACCAAGACCTGGATGGCTGAGAATCTCCATAGGCACCAAGGAGAGCAGTGTTTTCTCCAAAATTATTCATGGCAAACAGCTTATAGAATGAGCAGTCAAAAGAGATTGTAGAGCCTCTTGTCTTCCTTAACCAATTAGCTTTGATAAGGAAATTACCAAAAAACCAGGAGAATTACATGCTTCTGCAATCACATGAAAATTGCAAAAAAGATTAGGTAGTTATACAGCTGGGGATGGGGGGGATAAAAGCGCACGTAAGCCTAATTCTTAAATATTTCATTCTTTTAGGAGGCGGGTGGCTTTCTACAATACAACCCTCACATCTACTTCATGTAATACATAAGCTTTTGCCCATAGCCCAGGAATCAATGGAAATGTAAAAGTTCAAACTGCAAGATTAAATAAACCCAGCTGGATAACCTTGGGCCAGTCAATCCTTAGAAGAAGACTCTCCTGCTCGAGCAGAGGGTTGGACTAGATGACCTCCAAGGTCCCTTCCAACTCTGTTATTCTATGATTCTATAAGAAGAAGGAAGGCAAGGACAAACCTCTTCTGAAACTCTTGCCAAGGAAAATAGAGATACTTATTCCAGGCTGTCACCAGGTGACAGCACAGACTCAAAGGCACCAAAAAAACAACACAAAATCTTCCAGATGCCAGATCTATTTCTAGTTCTTAGTAATTCTCCTATTCCGCGTAAAAGTGTGACTTGCTCATGCAGATTACATATATATGCATTTCTGGATTCAAGGTTTTCTTTATAAAATGTACATGTATTTACTTAATGATATTTAATCCTGATTTTCAATAAGAAATGCTTCCAGAATGCCTTGTATTCAAAATAATAACGAATGACAGGTTTAGAATAGAGTAGATATTTCAAAATTTGGGAAACTTTAGGGAAGAAGAGAGAATAAAGCAATTCCTTGAGCTGGCTTTTCAGCAGATTTGGTTAAATGACCCTGCTTCATATCCTGTTTTCTTCTACAATGGACTGATTTAAAAAAAAAAATGAAAAAGAAAGCCTTTTTATACCTATGTGCTTGGACAACAGTAAGAGAAGTCAGAAATATGAATTTTCGTTTTTAAACAAAGACTTCCCATTATCCTCCATAACTCCTTAAGTTTTTGGGATCATTTCCAAATGCCCAAACTTCATTCCATGATATCTAGAGACTTGATTTCAAGTCTTTATTGCCAAAAAGAGTCTAATTTGCATCCTGTCTCTCTCTAGCTTTGTTTGTTAGACCTAAATGAAAGCCTTCTTTCTTGAGCTCTTTACTTGGGTTGTCATTTGCACATCTTGAAAGGAAGAGCAACAGAGCAGAAATAAGAGATATTGATGCAGAACAAAACACCAAATTTAATACAGAACATTTGACCATAATGAAGAAGGCTGTATCAGATGGTGGACCAACATAGTCTTTATTTCCCATCAGAGTGATTTTTCTTACATTCACAGAAAACACAACAAATGTGTCAATCTACCCCTCCACACACACACAAATAATTGTTTTCCCCACCTACCTCCCACCCATGGTATAATTGCTGATATTTGGGGCAATTATCATTTATCATGCAGTGCCAATCTCCATGCCTTGAGGGACAATAATGAAACTCATCAGAAAAGGTTATGACATTGAACTACATTAAATTCTCTGAAGTTCTGAAAATGGACTAAATGCCAATCCCAGTGAATTTTAAGAACAAGGAGAGGCATCTTCTTATCCCCAAAGAATGCATAGGTAGAATTTAATTTGTTTTATAAAGAATTTACAGAAAGAAATTATGGCTTGAGCTGTGTACATTTTCCCACAAAAGATAGAGTAAATCAAACAACAACAGTAGGTTATGCCAACAATTAGGTGATATTGAAGGACATCCTTCTAGCATTCTTTAGCACATCTTCTGCAGTTACAGTGGACATTGTACTATCCTATCCTATCTCATTTGTCATATGCTTAGTGAGTATAGAGCACCTAAACATTATGGAAACCTGTTCTCAAATTATTTTACATGCTTCAAGTGAAAGTCTTGCCACTGAAATTATTTTTATTTTATTTATTCATGTATTTATTTTTCATAATTCTTTACCACTTATATCCCTCAGAGAGAGGCTCTGGGCAGTGTACAATATAACCAATAAAATTGAAATCAGAATAATTTAAGGTTAAAAAGTGTAAAATTATAAAAATAACATTATAAAATTTCAAAAGGTGAAACATTCCAAGATGGAGATTAGCAGTTGTTAAAACAGATGGGGAAGGTTCTAATGGGGCCAACCCGCCACACAATTGTGTGAGCCTCTGTGTCCCCCCACGCAAGGCTGCACAGTCAGGTTTTGACCAGATTTCAATGTTAAGTTCCTTCAAATACAGGAAGACTTCAGCCAGAAGAGAAGACCATCGCTTGGAAAATTGGATCCCTGCCTTTCTTCTAAGCTTGAGTCTAGTCAATTCTCCTTCTCAATTCATCAGTCTGTAGGCTCAATACATTTTGATATTGTTAACAATTTTCTCTATTTTAACATTTGCTTCTGGTGTTATCCTACAAAGGAGGAGGAGGAAGGTGGCTTCTGTCTTAATCAACACTTATCAATTTGTGAAGCAACAACAAATGTACTCAGTGATCCTGCCAAATCTGAACTCCCATAAACTTGGAGTTTTTTGGCTCATGTACAAAATTTATATTCAGCCACAACTGCATGCTCTCTGTTAATCTGACTCCTATAAATTGCTCTGAGCTCTTTCAGGAATCATGGGAGGACAGTGTAACAGGCTGCTGTGTGTCAACTTAAGCAGAAGAATCTCATCAGTATTCTAATATAAAGCCGAAATCCATAGCATACATGCATGTGAATGCTCATTAAACAGTCTTTGTTGGGGACTTCCGGTTTGCAGCGCTTTGGGGCAGGCAGGAATCCACGATCGTGTGCGGTTTCTGCCTGCGCTCGTCGCTGGAGTGCCCTGAGCCACCCGGCTTCAGGGCTAGCCACCTCTGTAGAAGGTGGTGAAGACAGGGGGATCTGGCAAGGTTGAGAGATATTGCACATCTCTTCCCTAGCCGGCTAAACTCCCTTTTCCGAAGGCGGTAGAGCGGCGGTCAGAAATGGCCGCCACAAAGAAGCGCTCAGACGGAAAAGAAAGTGCAGGAGGAGTTAAGAATAAGTGAAAGTTTTTTTGCTGACTGGGACAAAGCAACAATGAAGGTACCCTGGAACTTAAAACTTGCAAAAGATACATTGTTCCCAGAGATTTACAAGTGGCGAATGGAAGTTAAAAGGGAAAGTTCTATTTTTTTCACTCTCCTTCCTAACGTTGACAGCGAACAGAAAAAAAATATTCTCTTTTGTTGTAAGTGGGAAGGGAGAGGAAAAGAACTGGAGCAGGATTTGGAAGCAAGGAGGAGATTGCCTAGAATTTTAAAGAATCATTAAATACTAACAAGACTTCTAAAAGATACATTTTAACTGGAATATTGCAACTAAACAGTAACCCCAGAAAGAGAAAGTGAAGAAAGAAGAAAGTGCTAAAAGAAACAGCTTATTTGGACTGTTTGGTGACTTTGGGACTTTTGGAAATTATCTTTGAAGGACTAAAAACACTTGGGTGGTTGTTTTGAAAAAAAAAAAATTTCTCTCTCTACAATGGCATTACTTGTGGATGAATTGAAAATTGAATTCAAAAAATACAAAGAAGAGGAACAAGAAGGGAAGGACTCTCTTGGCTCTCTTTTTCAATTCTTAGAAATGGTGATTTGCACCTATGAGAAACTGACTGCACAACAAGATGATTTGGACAAAGAAGAAGCCATCTTTGATGAACAAGTAACTTTATTTGGGGAAGAAAGGGAGAAGGAGGAAAAGAAAAAGGAGACTTTAAGACCTTAAAAAAAACAACCAAAAAAGAGAAAAATAAGGTGAAAAGTGGATATAATGTTAGAAAACAACAGAAAGGGGGAATACAGAAGAGGAAAAGGGAGGTGGAGAGACAAGGGGGTAAAAAGGGCAGGGAGAAGAAGGAGCAAGGGAGAAGTTTCAATGGTGTGGAGCAAGATGTAAAGAAACAAGATTCATTTAGAGATAATGGGTAAAAATTTAATTCAAAAAGAGATTCTGCAAAGGTACATAAGATTGTATTGTTATATTTGTACTTAGAAATAATGTTAGAAAATTGGAAACAACATGTGATTAAAAAATGGGATAAAATATTCAGTGTAATTTAGCGAAATTTTTGTGAATAAAAGGAAGGCAATGAAATAAATGAAAGAATTGAAGTAGGAAGAAATGGGAACATTTTAATGATACAATGATTTAAAATACAAGTGATGTGAAGTGGGGGGAAAATAACTATGGAAAGCTTATAAGTGTTCCCATAAAAGTATGATATTCAATTGAAAAGTAATGTGTAAAATGTTTAAGATTCAAATGAATATTAATATTAATGATAGATTTGAATTGGTATGGATTGTTGTTTTAATTGTATTACATATTTACAAATTTTCTTTCTTTAAAATATAATGTGTAACTCTAGAATGTACTAAACAGAATCCCAATGGAAGTTATGTACTATACTAAGTGTTATAAATTTAGGGGAAAGAGATAGAGGCGTCATACTCCAATTAGTGTACAGGAGAAATTTTGTTTAAAGAGAAAAGATAAATAGATAGCTGGAAACAGAACAGACAAAGAATAATAAGCATAATGATCTGAACTGAGATGAGATAAATAAAATAAAACTAAGAAAGTTCAAAAGAGGGAAGAAGCTATATAGAAAACGTAAAATGGTAATAAGATATGGAATGGTATATAAAATGAACATGAATTTAAATTTGTGTCTGTATGAAGAGATGTAACCCGGGATCAAGCAGCTTTCAGAAAAGTTGTTTTATGTTTTTATGTTTTATGTTTTGTTTGTGTATTGTCTTTGAAAATTAATAAAATTTGTTTAAAAAAAACCAGTCTTTGTTTACTTAATACAATTACTTATATTGTTTTCTTTTTACTGTGCATGTTTTAATTCTGAATTCATTGTTTTAAATACTTGCTTCTTGTGTATATTTTTATGTAAGTAAGCTTATATTATTCCTTTGTAAACTCCTCTTTGAACTCCTGGAAGGCATAACAATATAGGAGGGAAAGGGACAGGGGACAGGGGAGGGAAGGGGAGGGTTAGGGTTAGAACATCTCATGCACAGATCAAAATGATAAATCAAGTGCAACAGATTTGGAAAAAAATATATTATCTTGCTTAACCTTTAATGTGTTGTGGTAAAAAGTTTTAGGAGGTTTTTTGTTTCTTTGTTTTCTTTTAAGCCTCTCATCTCAGTGTTTCATTTCCATAATTGCTTCACTAGAAAAATAAACTAATGGAAGAAGGAATGTTACACTTTATGTTGCATAATTTGATGAATAATTTCTTCTCTTAAACTGCAAAGTCATGTTTTTTCACTGTGACACATTTATTTTGCAATTTTCGGCCAGGATGTCTTTACCTATAAACCATGTGAGCAAGCATGTTGCAAGCAATACAAAAAAATAAGAACATTCTAATGACCTGGTACAACATACAAAGTGAAGGAAAATCAATCTAGAAAATCAGACCTGCTCTAGAAAAAAATAGCTATTTAGCTATAAGTTTTTATTAATGTATTTGTAACATGAAGTTCTGGGCATCATGTTCTGAAAATTTTACGGTTCCTTTTGTTTTCCTTAACCCAATTCTTGAAATAATATCTTCTAATATTAAACTTCAGTAATTGAATTGGAAAATGAAAAAGTCATCCTAAATGAAGAGTTTAAGAGTACATAACTTTATATACTCAAAAAAGACAATTTTAGGAAATCCTTCAACAGTCTGACATTGTAAATTTCTAGGATCTATAAATTGCTATGAATTCTATGAAGAAAGGGTGAAAGAATATTAGAGTATTTATTTTCTTTAAAATATATCTCCCACACCTCAAATAAATGTGGACTCTAATGACAATTAAAGCAAATATTTTCCACAACCTGCTCATAGCCTACATTAATATGCAAAGCTATACATGATGAACGATTGAGGGAACAAGTTATGTCTCGTCTAACAAGAGAAGGATTAGAGATGATGTCATAACAGACGTCCATTATATGAGAGGCTATCACAGGGAAGAGTGGGTCAATCTATTCTCCAAAGCACCTGAGGACAGGACAAGAAATAATGGGTGGAAAGAGAAATCCAACCTAGATTTAAGTATAAATTTCCTGATAGTGAAAACAATTAATCAGTGGAATAGTTTGCTTCTGGAGGTTGTGGATGCTTCATCACTGGAAGTTTCTGAGAAGAGACTGGACAGCGATTTGTTTGGAATGGTGTAGGATTTCCTCTCACAAGCAGGGGGTTGGACTAGAAGACCTCCAAGGTCCCTTCCAACTCTGTTATTCTATTCTATTCTAAATTGCTCTATGAGTTCTTTCTGATCAAATCCAAATTTTGGGGAGAACTAAGAGCATTCTTTTCCCCTCGTCCTTTTTTAGCATCCAGAAACTTCTTTACATCTTCAGCAGAATAAGTGGAATAAAAACAGGTCCTGAGGTTTGTTGCTGACTAAGAGTTCCAAACTTGATTTCCTAAAAATTATTTCTCAGCACACAGGAAGAAGGGGGGGGAAGGTGCATGCTGTCTCATGAAATCTTTTAATGAGTGCCAGACCGTGTGTTTAAAGTCATTATTTGTACCAAAATGTTTCACAACAAGGGAATGAATCAATTAAGTGATTGGGGCTGAAAAGGTGAATCGCACCTACAAAAGTCTGTTGAACTCATACCATGTTGCTTTCTGGTATTGTTTTCAACCTTCCATAGGAGCTACAGATGAGCACAGTATTAGCGCATGAATTGGGTTTTTAGGTTGTTACTTAAGTCTGTTGCTTTAGGATCCTACCAACCCATTTTTAAAATGACAAAAATTCATTTGAAAGAGGTGAGGATCTACCAAGGATTTGTAAAAGTAAATGCTATGTAGCATAGTCACCCATGGTAGGGAAGATATTTCAAAATGGGCTAGGCTTTTCCATCTTGCATCATGCCCAGTTGTCAGAAACAGAATAATCTGATAATGTAGAACAAATAGTGCAAGAAGGTGCTACCAACTTGCTCCAATTTTCATCACCTCAGAATTAACGGAAAGAGCGACTAGGTAGAAAATAAAAAAACCTGCATTGGATATGGTCCAAACTATAGATCTATTGATAAAGGCAGGTGTCCTTGTCATGCCTAATACCATTGCTGATCATATCACTGTGCCAAATCATGCAAACTAAGTGCCAACTTTCATTTCATTTCAGAATGATGTAGGGTTGGGTTAAAAGACCTCCATGGTTCTTTCCAACCCTGTTATTCTATGTTCCATCAACCAAATCAAAACATAATTTGTCTCCCCCTTGAAACTACTTATATATAAATGGGGAGAGGATGTTCCCTCTTTCCCCAACAGTTAGAAGCATCTTGGCAGGCCGATTTGTACACACACACACACACACACACACACACACACACACAAATCTTAAGAACGTGCCTGCATCCCACCCAGAATTACTTTTGATGTTGTGATTCTTTTCTTCCTCCATTTCCTTTTCATTTAAGAGGAGCTTTGCTCTATCAAAAAGACAGTGTAGGCAACCATGCTGGGCCAGCAGGAACATCCTGCTTCCCTTCTATCTATCAAAACAGTCTCCGTTTCTCTGTCCAGGGAAATTCCAAAATATAGTGGCTGCTCGTCAAGAAAATACACCAGATTAAAGACACCCACAACGCCTTTTTAACAGAAGTGCTTGTTTTGATTGCCCCTAAATTGCAGAGCACCCTCGGTAGAAGTTTCAGATGCTTCCACCGCCTCTTGCTTTTCCTCTATTGCATTATGTAAGGAGAACACAATGTCCTCCGAGTGAAAAAATAGCCTCCAGAATTCATCTGGATCACTTAAAGAGAGCTGTATAACATGAATGGAAAAGTGCTCCTTCCCAGCAAACAAGGCACAGGCGTTTTAGCTAAATGGCTTCTCTAACGGGACTGCTGTGTGTGCATTTATGCATTTAATTGTCCTGAATCAATGAAAGAAACTTACCCTCCTGTCGACAAATTGAGGAGAGGCTGTTCGTAAACTCTGTCTTCTCAAAGAGGCTGGTCGTGTTCTTTTTCAGTTCCGCAACTCTCCAGATGCTGTAGCTAACGGTAGGTGGAGCATGTTCAGTGCCTATTATGGCCTGTTGTTTATGCCAGAATCTACGCCATTTGAAAACCGTCTCTGAACCACTCCTGTGTTCCTATGAATGGATTAAGAAATGACACATTCTATGGGGCTGTTCCCAGAAAGGGCAGGAAACCTTTTAACAATCCTGGGCACGTAGCCAAGACTTCCAGCCTTGCTTATGAGTTTGACACAGAAAGTAGAAAAGAGAGTTTTTCATTCACAAGACGGAAAGTGACCGTTTTTCAAACTTAAGGAAGGGTATTTGACCCTTTACTGTATTTCTAGGCTCTGGCTCTAAAAGCTTCAGGGAAATCTAGAAGGAGGGTTAATGAAAGGAGCGGATTACTAAAGCAATCTATTCAGAAACAGCAGCCTAAGATTCACTCAGCAATAGTCGGAAAAGGAGATGGAAGTCTCTCTCTTCTGCAGAATTAAGGTAGGTTCGTTCAGTTGCTACCATCTCCATTAGCCTCATCCAATCATATTATTATGGGTGGTCTTCAACTTACAACAATTCATTTAGTGACCGTTCAAAGGTACAACTTCACTGAAAAAAAGTGATTTGCCTTCATTGAAAGTGATTTGTGACCATTTTTCAAACTTCTGACCATTGCAGCATCCCCACGATTACGTGATCAAAATCCAGATGCTTGGCAACTGGCATGTATTGATGACTGTTGCAGTGTACCAGGGTCATGTGATCAGCTTTTCTGATCAGACTCATTTAACAACCATGTTACTAACTTAACAATTGCAGTGATTCACTTAACAGCTGGGGCAAGAAAGGTCGTAAAAGGGGGCAAAACTCACTTAACAAATGCCTCACTTAACAGAAATTTTGGCCTCAATTGTGGTCATAAGTTGAGGACTACCTGTATTTTTTCCCCCAAATTTTGTCTCACATAAGCAGTTTGTTGCTTTGGACCCCTGGCCCATTTAGTCCAGCAGTCTGATCCCACAGTGGTCAACCAACTACACAAGGAAGTCTCTCTGCAGAGGGTCTTCGGAGACAGGCATACTCACATCATGGCTAGTGGCCATTCATCCCACAACTTCTAATTAATTTTGTTGAAGGAAAAGTAGCACGTCCACTTTATCCACACCATGTATTTTGTTTTTGTAACTCTCAACATATCCCCCTCCAAATCTTCTCTTTTCTAGACAAAAAATCCAAAAATGCCATATTTTTCTTTATCGTAAAGTTCTCCAGACCCTTCATCATTTTCATTGCATTTTTTTTTATTTTATCTGTTATATTTTAAACCTTTGTACTTCTCTACAATACCACTCGTTGATTGTAATAAAGGACTGATGACTGAGAGAGTTGAAGAAGATAGACAACTTTTTTCAGACATCTCAAAACTAGCATAAAGCTGATTCTGGAAGAATGACATTCATTTTTCTCCCCCCCCCCCCCATTTATTTCTTTTATTAATTTGTCAAGCAAGTATTAGATAGCAGGTATAAGTATAAGCATGGTTATGAATACATGAAATGGATACGAATAAAAAAGAAACAATAGGACAGGAACAGTAGGCACGTTGGTGCACTTATGCACGCCCCCTATAGACCTCTTAGGAAAGGGGTGAGGTCAATAGTAGACAGGTTAAGGTTAAAGTTTTTGGGGTTTGGGGAAGAAACCACAGAGTCAGGTAGAGTATTCCAAACATTGACCACTCTGTTGCTGAAGTTGTATTTCCTGCAATCAAGTTTGGTGCGGTTTACCTTTAGTTTGTATCTATTGTGTGCTCTTGTATTGTTGTGGTTGAAGCTGAAGTATTCATTGACAGGTCAGACATTGCAGTAGATAATTTTATGTACTATACTTAGATTGGACCAAAGGTGGCATAGTTCTAGGTTGTCTAGGTCTAAAATTTCAAGTCTGGTGGCATAAGGTATTCTGCAACGAGTAGAGGAGTAGAGAACTCTTCTTCTGAAATATTTCTGGACTTTCTCAACCGTGTTAATATCAGATACATAATGTGGGTTCCAGACTGATGAGCTGTATTCAAGTATTGGTCTAGCAAATATTTTGTATGCTCTAGTTAATAGTGTGATATTACCAAAGAAGAAGCTACGTAGGATTAGATTAACAACTCTTAATGCCTTTTTGGCTATGTAGTTACAGTGGGCTCTAGCACTTAGATCATTAGAGATGAGTACTCCAAGGTTTTTGACATAGTTGGGGTCATCAACAAGGTCTTGATTATTCAGCTTGTATTATATTTTCTGATATTTTTTTTTGCCAATATGTAAGACAGAGCATTTGTTTGTTGAGATTTGAAGTTGCCATTTGTTTGACCATTCTGATTAGACTCTACACTCTCAAAGTCTGTTTACAAGCTGCTATTTTCCTTTATATGGGAGAGTTTCTAAGAGGTCTTTTCAGTACAATGAAATTTTATGTTTTGAGACATATGGAAAAACCTGGACTGTAATTCACAGTCAAGAACACATAGAAGCCATTATTTCCAAACTATGTCTGATAGGTGGGTATTTTCACTTGAAGACCTCCTGATTTTGTTAATCCAAAGATGTATTCACATGCAATGCGCTCTGGTTATTGAATTAAACTATTTGCTCTATACAGATAGTCCTTGACTTACAACTCTTTGTTTAATGACTGAATTTACCACAGCACTGGAAAAAATGACTTACAAATGATCATTGCATTTAAAACCATTACAGCATAACTACATGATCAAAATCCGGGAACTTAGCAACCAGCGTGTACTTACAATGGGTTGTAGTGCTCCAGGCTCACATGATTACCGTTTGCAACCTTCCCAATCAGTTTCCAACAAGCAAAATTAATGAGGAAAGCCAGATTTGTTTAAGGACCGTGTGATTCACTTCAGAAGCCCAGAAACTTAGCAAGAAAGGGTTGAGAAGCTGTGAGAGAAAAGATAATTTGGAGGCATTTGTACTGTCTAATCCTATCTCTGCAACCATCTAGGGGCACTTCTAATTTCTGTAGGGTTTTTTTTGGGTAGCTGAGGAACTGGTTGGCAAAATGCCCTTTTACAAAATAACATATTGCTTTTGATGTTGGAAGCATTCCCAGAAAACATTCTGTTTTAAATCAAAATCAAAATTCTCTTACAGCATATCTGAGAAATAGTAATCATGGAGAGAGCTAGACTATATTAGGTACCGTATGAAAAATACATTGGAAATAAAACAATGTTTAAATTAACTACATTGAATTGCATGAAAGGAGTGGAAAGAAAATGGTTGCTGGGGACATCCAACTTCACTTTCTTGTAAACAAAGAAAAGCTGAGCTTTAATTTCTAAACTTTGTTGCCTTTTTTGTTGTTCTATTACCTAATGTACAATCTGCTTATTTAAATTAATAAGAGTGACTGTTTCCAAGTGTGTTTTCTGTAACACTTGTAATTATGACATACTGCATTTATTTATTAAGAAACGAAAATAGCATTTAACAGCATTGATTAAAGATTGTAGTTCTTAAAAATAGAAATTCTCTCTAAAAGTGTCCAAGTGGGCAGTATTTTTTTAAATCGTATTATCTGAAATTAGCTTCTTTGTATAAAATCTTGCTCAAAGAAACATGAATTCTGCAAAATATTACTAAATGCCCTCTCTTCTCATTTTCATGTACTATTGTAATTCAAAATATCCAAGGCTACTAGACTGAGTTTTACCTATGCAAGCACATAAAGTTTGAGAATCTCTGCAATACATAGATTAAATGGTAAACATTAAAAGTTGATGGTAAATTTCTTTCTGGTCCAACCATGATCTAATGAGATAGTTAAATTTGTCCTATGAAATGTTTGCTCAAATTCATTTCTCATTTTAGGGATATCAGTAGCACAAAACACAAGAACTACTGCAGTTATTACCTGAGTGCTGGTTTCTATTCTGAAGTCCCTATAAAATGCAACTTTAAAGGGTTAAAGAAATCTTGCACTATGAAGCCTACAAAACATCTTAATTAGTTGTCTTCTTTTTTTTGTATTCCAAAACAACCACTGGAAGAACATTTATCACCTGTGAGATAAACTACAAGAACTTCTTGTGATGACAGACCATGGAATGCGTGATGACCCACTGTGGGATACAAAACAAACACAGTCACAGAAAACAGGTGAAGCCCCTTTTATTCCTTCACTTTGTTTCCAAGCTCCAAATATCCTTGATAGAAGACAAAAAACTCCAACCCAAACAGATACAAGAAAAAGGGAAAAAGCAACACAAACCAGGCAAGATAAGAGCTGGATGAGTCTACAAATAACAGAACACACACTGGGAAGGATGCCAAACTCAGAGAGGAACCATAAACTAGAGATATTTCCATGCTTTCTTTCCAGCATTCACCCCTATGCAGATCCGTCCTCTTATTCAGTTGTCACAGCTGCAGCCCATGAAGAGGATCAAAGCCCTCTCCTCCCAAGTAGACCACACCTCTCCCTTATCCTCTCTTCCCTGCATGCCCTAGGATGGAGAAGGGATGAGCCTGGGTCCTCCTCCAAATGCTCAGCTGGCCTCTGCCCTTCCCCAGCCTCCTCCACAACCTCCGGAGTCATACTTCCACTCCCTGTCGGCTGTTCCTCCTCTCCCTCAGAATCAGTCTCCACCAGGGGCATGACAGAATGATTAGTGAACAGGCATGACTCCCATTCCTGGTTTACAAGAACCATCCAAGCTTTTGCATTATGTTGCAATTTCTCACCAACCTAGCCATTTTTGAGAGTTTTTTGATCTCCAAGGATTGGACACACCACCATGTAGTAAATCTGTACACAATGCTTGCAGCTCACCCCTACCCCAACTACAGGGCATTATTCTGGGTCAATTCCACCCTTTTAGATTTTGCAAGGTGATTTTGCCTCCTAAGTATCTCTGTAATACTCATTCCTTTATATTAAGTCTTTTAAATGTTTATGGAGATTCTCAGTCATCCAGGTCATGGTTATCCGAAAGGTGCTTTTTCAAAAGGTAACTGGGCTTTCTTTGTTTTTCCTTGAAGACATTTCACTTCTCATCCAAGAAGCTTCATCAGAACTCAAGAAGCTTCTT